ATATTTTTGTGTTTTGAAATTTTTTAATCATTATATTTCCCCAAAATAGGTGTATCTGTCACAAAAGGTGGGTATAGACATTATGCTGGTTAGTTTTATCTCAACTTGAATGAAGCTTTAGTCATCTGAGAGGAGGGAGTCTCAGTTGAGAAAACGCCTCCACAAGATCTGACCAGGCATTTTCTTAATTAGTAATGTAAGAGCAAGGTAAACGGGAGAGGATGGAGTTAACTCCATCCTCAGAAAAAGCCACCTTGAGGAATTCCTTGTGTGACACAAAGCTGATTCAGCTCCAGCCAAGGAACCATAAACAGTTCCAAGGAGCACCCAAACTGTCCCCACCCTGGACAAAGTGACCCCATCTGGGTGGTCAGGCAATGACTAATTTTGGTAAATAACATATTCTTGTCACAACTGTCCTTGTGGGCAACTGTTAGTAACAATTTTGAAATTCCCCTAGCCCCCACACCAGTGAATCCAAAGGCTACCTACTCTTACCCAATCCTGAACTGCCAAGGCATGTACCACCCTGCTTGCAGTTTTTTCCTTTATAAACCCCTTGCAATTGAGGCCAGGCACCCTTTTCCTGCAGCTGCTGTGCCAGTTTGCTGGACAGGGTTCCTGTCAAGGCTTGTGACATTAAACCTTATGTGTTTGCATCAGTGAGTTGGCTCCTTGGTGTTCTCTTTTGGGATCTCACGAACTTGGCATAGCAGTAACGGATATGAGAAGTGCCAGCCCATTATTGGTAGTGCCACCCCTGGGTTGTGTCCTGGTTTCCATAAGCAAGCAAGCTGAGCAAAGCATGAGGACCACGTCAGTAAGCAGCACTCTTCCATGGCGCCTGCATCAGCTCTTGCCCTGTTCAGTTCTTGCCCTGGCTTCCATTCAATAATTGAATATGACAGAACCATATGGTAAGAACTAACTGGCCTTTTAAATGGTAGAGTAAGATCAGTATAAGGAGGATTGATTTATTAGGCTTAGGAATATTAGCTTTAAGAAATTTGGAAAGAAGGGGTTGTTTATGCTGTGGAATGTTTGTTTAATGGTGCAAAATGTGTTGCATTCTTTTACATTTCATTTGTTTAACTTTGTGAAGCTGTGCTGCTTTGCCTGACTAGAACATCTGATTGGTTTAATAAAGGGCTGAACGGCCAATAACTAGGCAGGAGAAAGGCTAGGAGGGCTGCCAGGCAGAGAAAATAAATAAGAGGGGAAGAGAAGAGGAAGGAGTGAGACAGGAGAAGGGGAGAATGCCAGGGACTAGCCACCCAGCAACACAGCCAGTCATGGAGTAAGAAGGAAAGAAAGAAATATACAATAAAGAAAGGTAAAAACCCAGAGGAAAAAATATGCGAGATAATTTTAGAAAGCTGGCTAGAAACAATCCAAGCTAAGGCCAGGCATTCATAAGTAAGAAAAAGTCTCTGTGTATTTATTTGGGATCTGGGTGGTGAACTTCCAAAGAACAAAGAGTAAACAAAAAAACCTACAATAAACAGGTGTTGGGACTTTCATGGGAAATATTCTTACAGAAAGGGCATGATATGGAGTTGATGTGTTCTAGACAGAAGGGAAACCTGGATAGTTATTGAAGAAGGTGTACTGGAGAATAAGGGAGACAGAGCACTGGAATGAAGGCAGTAGCTGAAAAATCAATAGTTTAAAGTACTTTAGGAAACAGATGTAACCTAGTTCCTAATTTACAAGAAAAAGGGAACATCAAAATCCAGGGGTGGTACTACAACAATGGTTCTCATACTTCCTAATGCTGTAGCCCTTTAATAAGTTACTCCTAACTAAAAGATTATTTTGTTGCTTCTTCCTAACTAATTTTGCTGCTGTTATGAATCATAATGTAAATATCTGATATGTAATCCCTGTGAAGGAGTCATTCAGGGGTCATGACCTACAGGTTGAGAACACTGGTTTACAAGGAAAGCAATATTCTGCCACAGAGAGAGTTGTACAGGTTCAGTCATTTGGATGGTATGAGACGGGGTCTGTTACAGTTTGAGGGGGTGTATTAATCTTCTCAAGAAGGCCCAAAATGTACATAACTAAAGAGAAGTACCATTTTGTACTTTAGGGCTGGGTTTTGGAGAGGTTGGCCCTCCCTTTTGGAAGAGGGATCACCACTCTTTCAATTGCCAACTGTTTTACAGTCTGGGCACAGTGTTGGAGAAGGGGGCCTTTAATTGGGCGGCTTTTGATCCAGTGACCAGTATGACTACATCTAAAATGAATTGTGAGGTATTTTGGTTTGATGAAAGGGTGGCTTTTGTTGCCAAAAGTGATGCCAAAAGTCATAATTTGAAATGCCGAACTTAAGACTGAGCACACACAGTTCTTGTTAGAGACTGATCACAACACCATGTTACCCTCCCTTTTTAAGACTGTATATTAGTCAGGATTCTCTAGAGGAACAGAAATATATATATATATATGTATATGTATAATGATTTATTCTAATCACTGTGTCCCAGAGAGTGCTAGGAGATATGGTAAAGAATGCTTCAAAGTCAGTGATATTTAAACTGTTTTGCTGATACCATGGGAATTTCCCAATGTAAGGGCTGGGGGAAGCTAACTGTAAATGGTTACAAAATATTCCACTAATGATGTGTCATGCCTTACCGGGCCTGCCTCTAGAAACTGCTTGAATGGTCAGTCCAGCTTTTTGTCTACAGTGACTATACAACTGTTCTCAACTCCTCTCTAGGAATAAGCCATGAGAGCAGTTATGAGAGCATTAACCTGTTCTTTCTTTGAACCATGTCTTTTGAAGTGGACAGCAGGAAGGAAATGGGTTCAAAGCTGATCTCCCAGTTGAACAATAAGAATAGTTTACTGAGACAATTCTGTCAGTATAACTCCAGCTCCAATGTTTCAGTAAATTATATTAAGATATAGAAAATTATCAGTAAACATGATTAATTTCGTCTAATAACAATGTATTAAAAACGCTAGAGGGGCTGGAGAGACGGCTCAGAGGTTAAGAGCACTGCCTGCTCTTCCAGGTGTCCTGAGTTCAATTCCCAGAAACCACATGGTGGCTCACAACCATCTACAATTCAATCTGGTGCCCTCTTCTGGCATGTAGGCAGAACACTGTATATGTGATAAATAAATAAATCTTTAAAAAAAAAACGATGCTAGATATAGTTACTATTTTGAATGTGTTTAAGTTTATACATGAATTCAGTAACAATATTGGAAAGGAAAATAGTTGACTAATTCATAACCACAATTATATAACCAATAACAATTAACATTGATTGAAAACTTGCTCTGTGCCCATTGCAAAGAATTTTTACAGAAGCCACCTTACTAACAAGAAAACTAGCAGATGGACATAGTGAGCTGTACTGTACACAACCGGAGGCACAGAGTACCTCCTGAGTACAGACTGAGCGATTCCCTGCTATGTCATACTTTTCAGTCCTTCTGAATCAGAAAGGACACTACAAACTATGAGGGTTAGCAGACAAAAAAACAAAGCCCCAAGAGGAGAAGTTGGCTACCTTTCCAAAAGTACAGGTTAGTGATGGCGAGGCAAAGTTCAGACATATTGAAGGTACATGTGCATATAGTTCTTCATAACCGCTGCTGCTATGAGGAATCAATGAGGATTCATGCCCCTCAAATGCGAGGGCTGCTTCCCCTGGCCTGATGGGCAGAGAAAAAAACTAGATGCTGGAGAAAGCAAACCCATTCTCAGTGCTCATTCTCTGTTTCTTCTGTCTCGCCTTCCCTCTGCTTCTCTCTATGCACCCCCATAAGTTACTGACTATCCTTCGTTGTTTTTGTTTTTTTTTTTCAACCAAGAAAAAAAGTATTTCACTTCCAACTAGGCTATATGGACAATCTGGGTCCTCATGTGGTTCTTCCCTGGGGCTCACTAAACAAACTGGCCATGGTCCCACAACACACTGGCCATGGTCCCGCTATTCTTTAGCAAGACTCTCGCATGCAATGGCACTCAGCAGGCCTCCAGAAAGAGCTGGACTAAATCGTGCAATTATGTGTCCAGAACATTTAACTGCAACTTGAGACAGTTCCAGCCAGACCTGAAACTGGCCTCCACACAGAAGATAACACACACTTCACTTGTCTGGCAGATAGTTTTGGCCTTCTGTCCAACTTTTTGAAAGATGGAATTTTGGAATTATTTTCTTAAGCTTTCAGCATTCTTATTCTGATCTTCCATGCCGGGTGAACCCTAGGTTTTCTCATCACCTGGATTAGCACAAACAGGAGTGACTCTCGCAGGTGTTTGAGGTTTTCTCAAAAAGCAATGAGACTTGCAGTACCAGCTGGTGACTTTTGGATTTAAGCCAAGTCTCAAACGGCTCTTGGTTTCTTCCAGCCGCGACTAACTTTGACATGGAAAATGTTTCTTTTTCTTTCATACCCTATTCCCTCCAGATAGTGTATAGAAACTACAGAAATAAATCAGAAAATTTCCAAACCAGGTGAGATGACTTTAAGAATTAAAAGGACGGGAGGTTGTGGAGCACACCTTTAATCCTAGTACTTGGTAGGCAGAGGCAGGCGGATTTTTGTGAGTTTGAGGCCAGCCTGGTCTACAGTGCAAGCTCCAGGACAGCCAAGGCTATAAAAGGACATGGATGGTTTGTGTATTGCGGTGGCGGGGGTTGGGGGACTTTTTCCTCGCCCTAATCTCTGGAATTGGGAACTCCCAACAAGGAAAGACCTCAAGGACCTTGGGAGCTGGAAGGAATCCTCAGATACCTGGCACTGAACAGGCTTGGTCCCTATCAGCCTTTCTCTGTCCCAAAGAAAGGCGGGGGAGGGGACAGAGGAGAGGGTTTGAGAGCAGTGGCTAGAGGTAACGAGGTGGGGGTGTTCCGGGAGTTAGGGAAGAAGGGGGAACGGTAGGTAGGAAGCAAGAGAAGAGAGATGACACCTGACAGGAGGCTGGGGTAGGGTGGCGGGATGGGGCCCGGGAAACAGAAAGGTAAGGAGGCGGAGACACCTTGCTGCGGGCCTTGGGGCGGGGACGCCAGGTGTAGGAGGCACGGTGACCTGCGTGGGAGGAGCGAGCTGGCGCTGGAATGATTCACCTTTCCCGGCTCTTCTGGCTCGCCCCAACTCCGGATCTGGGCGGAGGGGCCCTGGGGCGTGTTTCCACACCCCTTGCGGACTTCGGAACTGACTCGGACAGACTGGCGCCGGAACAGGAGTCGTCCCTCCTGGACGACAGCTTGGTGGGTTCGGATCCTGCAAAAATGCGGGCCCTGCCGGCCATGGACGCACTTGCCAGAATGCGACCACCTCTCCGGGACCCCAGGGCGGCGGAGGAGACTCACACCGCGCGGCCAGCGAGCAAGAGCGCGGTGGAGAGACTGGCGGCAGACCGTGCCAAGTATGTTCGTAGCACGCCGGGATCCAGCCAGGGTCCTGTTTCAGAGTGTAGCGTCCCTGAGACCCCAGGGGTGCAACACCGCAACCCAATCCCTTCGGCTCTTGCCCCGGCTCCTGTAGCCCGCAGAGCTCTCTCTCGAAAGTCGCTGAGACCTGATTCGTTGGTCATCTACCGACAGAAATGTGAATTCGTCCGAGGGCCAGGAGCAGATTGTTCCAGAGGGGGGCTGGTGAAGAAGCTTTTCCAGGGGTCTGCCAAGGACAAAATGCCAGTGGCCCCTGAGACGACCGGGGCGTCAGGTGAGGAGGACAAGACGAAGGACACAGAGACCACTTGGACCAAGTTCAGCCAGGCGGCAGCCACTAGCCCAGCCTCTGTGTTACCACCTCCAGCCCCTGTAGTGACCACGGAGTCCCCAGACGTGCCTTTGCAGGTGGCTTCCAAGGTTCCAGTCGCAAACCCCGGGACGGAGCTACAGGTGTCGCGTCGCAGAGGATTACAGCGCTCTCAGTCAGATCTCAGCTCCCGCTACTCGGTAGCCAGGGCTGAGCCCGACACCTTCTTCCTCTATTGCGGCCTGGACCCTGAAGTGGTGGAGGCTATTGGGAGGGAGAACTTCTCTGCTGGATCGGACTGCGTTACACTCAAAGTACGTAGCGTGAGCATGGCTACTTCTGATAGTAGCTTCTCCAGGCATAGCGACGACGGGTTGCAAGAAGAGGAGCTCATGGAGCAGGTGCCTAGCACCACCTCGGTAGTAGAAAGGAACGCCCGCATCATAAAGTGGCTGTTCACCTGCAAGAAGGCCAAAGAAACCCCCAGCCAGAGGTTGCAGGGACCTGCCTGAGTGACACCTGATCCAGGTAGGTGCCGGGAACCTGGAGGATGGGGTGTGTGCTTATATGTGTTGACTAAACTGGGCGCTGGCCAATCACCGCTCATGGTTAGAATACAGCGCCTACAGTACGAAGGCACCCAGTTGCCCTCCTAGTGTTGAATTTTCAGTACTTGGAAGGGTCTTTAAGTTAACGCTCTCCCTGCAGGTGTATTGTAGTGGAGAAAGCTGAAGTGCTAAATGATCCAGCCAGTAGTTTCACTCTCGTCTTAATTCCTGTTTTGAAAGTAGCCTCTGAGCCTTAGGCAATTATGCATCATAGGACAAACTCCTGGTGGGCCTTTCTGAAGTCCTCAGGGATTCTCAGCTCCTGGTAAATCGTGATATCTCACTTCCATCAAGACTCTAGGGGATCCCCCTCCCCAGGCGTTGAGGTCTGGAGAACTTGGTAGTCCTTCAGCAAGAAAATATCTGGGTTTTTGTTTTTGTTTTTTTTGGTTGTTTGGTTGTTGTTGTTTTTTTTTTTTTTTTGCCACTGATGATAATGCAGAGTGTAAACATCTTCCGGTCCAGGAAGTAACCACACACTTCTCTGCCCTCCGCCTCTATACCTCCCTCCTTCTGATGTGTTTCTAGCATAACTGGGAGTAAGAAGGGACACCTTTAGAGGAGTATTTTTGAGAACAAGGCATTTAAGTGTTTCAACAGCTTTTTTTCCATTCTGCCTTCGAGAGCAAGTTACTGTGAAAATTTTTAAAAATTACTTCTTCGACACTTAGATGCTTCTATTCAGCCAACCTGTGTTTATGAATGAGTTGTTGAGTGGTCTTTATACAGATATAAAAATAGTAAGGAAAAGCCGGGCGGTGGTGGCGCACGCCTTTAATCCCAGCACTCGGGAGGCAGAGGCAGAGGCAGAGGCAGAGGCAGGCGGATCTCTGTGAGTTCGAGGCTGGGCTGGACCGATAGCCTCCAAAACAATACAGAGAAACCCTGTCTCGAAAAACCAAAAAAAAAAAAAAAATAGTAAGGAAAAGTAGATTAATTTTTCTTGATTTCATGGGGCTCAAAATTAAGTTCTTTCTATAATTTGTTGAAGATTTGCATATTACACTAGTACAAGTCTCCAAGGAATGTACTCAAACAATAACAATAATAAGAACGACAGAAAAAATTACATCTGTTTGTATTCTCACAAAATTGCCTTTGAATCTGAGATATGTATGTAAATGACGATAAGGGTATGCCATGGTATAGATGTGAGCATGGTGTAGCTGTGAGCATGGTGTAGCTGTGAGCATGGTGTAGCTGTGAGCATGGTATAGATGTGAGCATGGTGTAGGTGTGAGCATGGTGTAGATGTGAGCATTGTGACATAGAGGGGGGTAGTAGAGGAGTAGGTTTAGAGAGAGAAAGGGCTGGACACATCTCACATGCACATATGTTAGGGCTGACTTGTTTTTCGTATACAAGGGAAGAAGACAGAGAAAGGTTGTTCAGCTTCTGTGTAGTCAAAAACCTGCATGTTTTTGTTCTGAGAGTGAAACACAAGGAAAGAAAAAAACATCTATTAGAACGGGGAGTAAGAAAACATAAATTGCCATAAGATAAACTTAGGGTACAAATAATGGTGAGGTAACAAAATGGCGTGCAGACGAGCTGAAGTAAAACCCAGAGGATAGTCACCCAGATTTTCTCGAGGCTTCTTGGATGGTTTTGGCAGTCACCATATGGAATTTACCTCATAAGCTTACTCTCCTTGACCTACAAAGCAGCCTGGGCTATCTATATAAGCACTACAGAGATACCTGGAACTTTGGGACGATTAAGTGACGTTCCTGGGCATTCTCTAGCTCTTTGAGGTGGTGCTTGTTGGAGATCAGAGCTCCATTCACTTACTACAAATTCAAGTGGCTAGCACCAAAGCTTGCAGCAAAGTACCCATATGTGGTCCTAGCTTTTCTTCTAATTTACATTTATGTTGAAATAGGATTTTATGAAAATTAACAGAATATTTGAGATGAACAAAGGTGGGATTTATAACAGAAAGACTATGAATACCATTTACATCAGTGATTCTCAACCTGTAGGTTGTAGACCCCTTTGGAGTTCTAACAACCCTTGCACAGGGGTCACCTAGGACCATCAGAAAACACAGATATTTATATTACTACTCATAATAGTAGAAACATTACAGTTATCAAGTAGCAAGGAAAATAATTTCATGATTGGGGGATCACCACACATGAGGAAATGTGTTAAAGGGTCAAAACATTAGGAAGGTTGAGAACTACTTATATTAATGAACGTTTGATTCACTTATTGGACAGAGACATATAATTTATAATAAGTATCCTACTCAGAATTAAAGCACAAGTTTATAAGTTTCTTACCCAGTGGAATGAAAATGTTTGCTAATCAAAATTGAAGCTAGCATAACTGCATACAGTTCATAGGACTTTCACACCATCCTCTAGGGACATGTGAGTAAATGGACTGCCATGCACAGGCAATTTTAGTAGTGTTTCACAGAGTATAAATCATGAGAACTGACCTTCCATTTTCTGGTTTTCAGTTATCATCCTGTCCATCAATTTATCAAGTTAATACCTGATGAAATGTAGGTGTCTCTGACTTCTTAAAAATAAAATATACAAATTCCTGGGTTTAATATTACCATAAAAGATAGATAACTTGTCCTTTGGGTAGTTATAGATAAACATGGCTTGATTTTTGAACAAAAAAAATCAGATATTCACAACCACTTCATATTTCCCCTTTGTAAAGAAAGGGTACCTGTGGAAGCCCTAAACTGTGTCACACATTGGAGGACAGGAACTCTGTTCCCTTCTTGGTCTACACTGGGAGCTCTACAGTTGTCTCCACCTGCAAACAAGGGACCAGAAGGTACTAAGGTCACCTACCCTTCCCTGCTTCCTGGTCAGCAGATGTCCCACTAGAGACACTGGTATTTGGAAAGGATGGAATCTGTTTGCCTCAAGTGTTCCATCGGACAGCCTACCTTGTTTTTGGTTATTTTGTCCAACCTTAGGCCAGTATTCCCATGTGGAATATTTTGTCAGTGTTCCACCCCTTGAGTAGTTGAAGGAAAGAGAAATTTCAAAATTCCAGGTAGGAAGAGATATTTTTCTATCAAAGAATGCAGAAGCCAGGCGGTGGTGGCGCACGCCTTTAATCCCAGCACTCGGGAGGCAGAGGCAGGCGGATCTCTGTGAGTTCGAGGCCGGGCTGGACTGATAGCCTCCGAAACAATACAGAGAAACCCTGTCTCGTAAAAACCAAAAAAAAAAAAAAAAAAAAAAAGAATCCAGATAAAGTTTCTCTTTAATATACCTAAATGTTTTTTTCAAAATTTTAAACACAAAAATATGTTTTGAAATAATAGAACTTTTATAAAACCAAAGAAAGGGGGAGGACATATTCTGTTGCACATTTTATAGCAGATGAGATGTTAACTCATGGTTCATTTCTATTTTCTCTACAGGAAGCTATCTTTTCCAGTGATGAAGGGACTCTTAAATAGAAGGGACTCCTGAGCCATGTGTTTGGTGTACCCCAACAATACATAACTGCTGCTTTCCTGGGAATAAAGCACTCCATTGACAAGGCTTGTATATTAGCCATGGTGAAATGCTGTGGTGATGAGGAGAAGGCAGATATTCGTAGCTACGAGAGGCATTCTCGTTCTAAGAGTGTATCTCAAAAGGCAGCTGAAGAAATGATAGTTGTTGGAGAATATTTTCAGGACATTTTCTTTCTGACTTACTGATAATTTCTGCAATGTGTTTTGATAATATGTAAATAGATGTTTTTAAAGAAAAGAAGCAAGTATGAAATCAAGCATGGATGCAATGGCATACTCCTTTCAACTAATTTATGCCACTTAAAGTTCTGTAATCACAAAATGGTATTCTACTTAAGTTCTGTGGCTGAGACAATCACCCAACACATACATTAGTTTCCAAGCTTTACTATAACTAAACTGTGGTTATTCCCATACTATACAACTGATCGACTTTTGTAATGATTTGAAGAGGACATTTAAAAATCACTTGAGAGCTTCATATTCATTTTGTTAATGCCACTTTCTGGCCATAAGTATGTGGAAACACACATTGGGAGATTCATGAGAATAGAGATCCTGCCCTCCCACCTCCCCCCGCAAAAGGCCTTTTTTTTTGTACTTGTTTAGTTTCTTGAGATTTGGACAGTATTCAAGTCCTTAGTTCTTTAACAATGTTCCCAATAGAGTGTGCTCCATAGCATCCTCATTTTTACCTTCTAATGGGGACAGAAACTGGTTCATGCATAAGGAACACTTCCCTGGCCTGAGGTCTGGTTCTACTTCACATACCAAGGAATTAAGTTTGGCATCAATTCATTGTTTACAGAGGATGTGTTTGGAAGCAACGGCTGCTTCTGGGAATTGAAAGTTCTAGGTTGTGAGTATGGGTAACAAGTTACTGGGCCGCTGGTTGTGAACTTGTCTGTGACATTCACAGTAAAAGGAGTTTAGATTCAGCCTCTTCTGAGAGAAATTATATGTGAACAACAACTCAAAGAAAAATTGTCAGTCAATTCCTTGAAACTTTACTGTATTTTTTTCAAAATGTATTCTTTAATGTTAAGATATGAGATATGAGGAAAGAGTATGGAAGAAATTTCTAAATGGTAATAGTTTATGCCAGTCCATTTTGAAATGTCCCCACTTTTAGTTTAAAGATGTATTATATGTAATTGTTTTAAGAGTAGTTTCTTAGTTACAAAAATATTTATTTTTGTATTTTCTAGTCCTCAGGTGGATTTCTTTTATTTCACATGGCTTCCCTTTCATTGGTTGATTTTTATATTATTTTCTCTTTTGTCGTCTTTTCATGCATATTGTTTATTTGAATGTTTGTCTTTTGTTTGCAAGTGGAGCTCTGTGCGGCTTGTTTCAGATATATCACAAATTATTATTCTTAGGGTTTTGCCTCTCAAGACAGCTTGGGAAGTGCGATCTGTGCCATCCCATCCATGCTGCTGTTTTGCATGTCACTGTATCAAGCTCGATTTTAAAAGCTGTCTTGATGACAGCAATTTGTAAAAGATCTTTCAGTAAGTGCAATTTATTATTTTCAGGTGTCGCATTCGTTTTATATGCGGAAAGTCTGGAGAAAAAGATTTTGGGTCTGGAAAGATGACTCAGCAGTTAAGAGGGCATGGGATTTATACTTTTCACCCATGTATTGAGTAAGCTGCTACTGAAAAGAATAGTGGATAAAATAATGTAATTAAAATATGTTGGAAAGAAGAAAGATCGCAAAGGCAATGGCCTTTTGAACTGCCATATATGGATACAGTAGCAGTGTCCAGATTAAAAGATATTGATGTGCTAGGGATTTTCCTTTGTTTATGCAAATATTTATATCTTCATCTCTCTAGCACTAGAAGAACAACCAACTTCACTGGTCTCTGCTTGTTCCAGTAGTTCAAAGTTTATCACAGTGCTACAATTGATGCTGCCTTGACCCTGACTTAGGACTTTCAGCAGTTGAGGCAACCCTGAAGTGGTACTGTAGTACTATGACCTTCTCTCCTCATCAAAGGAAAGCCTTTCAACACTTGGTCAAAGGAGATGCATGGTGTTTCAGGTCTTCGACTGTCCTAAAGCTGTACATATTTACTATATGGCTGTAGTAAAACTATCTTAGAGTATTTAGTTCAATATATCATGAGTCATTTGTTTAAAAATACTTCTTTTCATGTTTTAGTACTAGCATCCATCACTGAAAATGAAGAGCAAATAAAATGAATACACTATTTGTACCTTTATTATTAGCTCACTCAGTGAAAGTTACTGTGCATTTCTTAAGCTGGTTCCCTATCTATCTGACACAGCTGGGTATGCTTGTACATGAAGGTGAGGCAGGCGAGGAAGTCTAATCTCTCTTGCTGCACTGACCAAGTCAGTGTTTCACTTTTAGTCTTGCTATAACTTTTGCCTACACTGAACAGTGTCCAGGGGATCCAATCAATGCCTTCTTCTGGCCTCCATTCATTCATGCAAATATGAGATGCATATAAACTCACTCAACAAAACACACGTATTCATAATTTTTAAAATTCTTAAATGAAAATAGAATTGTTTTCCCTTAGCAATTGGGAATCAGAATGGCCTGGATCCTGACTTCAGTAGACCTGGTGCTCAATTTGAACTTTCTTAGGATTTCTGTTAGAAAAAGAAATTGAAGATTTTTTTTAATTTCAGATACCCACTGTCCATGTTTGTGGTGTGAAAACAACGGTGCTGTTTATTAAAAGTTACTTTCCTAGGCTATCACTGATGACAATGACAGCATTCACTCACCTGTGTATATTGAGGGAATCAAATGCGAAAGTTGGCACTGAAGATCACCCAGCTCCCTACCCGCCCCCATTCCAGCGTGAAACAAGATAACAAGGAAAGGGAGATGATGGGCAGATAAATGTATTGACGTAGAGAAATTATAGAAGTGAGTCGGAAAACATATAAAGGAAGAAACGAAGCAGGGTAAGGAAAGAATAGTGGTGCTAGATATCTGATTTGTGAACTGATAGCCTCATTCATCCATGGTTTCTATTTGATGCGGTATGCCTGAACCAAAAATGGATCTTAAGGTTCAAATCATATAAAGAGAGCCCAATAGAAGGTAAGGAAAGCATACCTTTTAAAATTGCAGATAAATCTCTACACTAAGTTATCAGTTGTGTAACTTTAAATTTTTCACTGAAGAAAGAGTACTCACAAATGATGCCCTGAACAGCCTACATCTTATTGGTTGTTGGTCAGGGACTATATGCTTCCTCTGTTTCTGTTTTTGTTTTTTAATTAAGAGTACACTTTTCCAACTTAGGCAAATAATAAAGGGGTTAGTGCCACAAACTGTTGAGTGCTTTTCCCAGTATAGTTTGAAGGCTGCTCCTCAAACACACTTACCTACAGGCTGTGGTCAGTCAGGACACTGTGTCGGGACCCAGTTTTCAACTGGCTTAGCAAGTTAAGATTGCAATGTCAACATTAGGTACCCTAAGTACTCCCATGTGGGTTCCCTTACAGATATCAAGAAAAGATATCTGTTAGGCATCTGGGGAAGTGAGCAGGGACCCACCCATCTGGAATAAAGACAGTCATGAGTAAAATGAGAGCTCAGCCCTCATGTCACCCAGGTGGAAAATGGGCCTCAAGCTCACAAAATTTCTTAGTGTCCACTATGTCCTAAGAGGTGACTTTCTCCTTCCTTGTTCTTCCTGGGAGTCCTGTCATAAGTAGGGAAACTTTAGGAAGGCCACCAGCTGTCACTGTTTGAAGCAATCTCCCAGGATCTCAGTTCCCACTTTATGAGGAAACTAGTGTCAGAACCAAAAGTGCTGGTCTGACATTTTCACTCTTGCTCTACATTCAGCTCGAAATATTGGAGGACATGTCAGGATTAAGCAGATATTGCTGTTTCTTGACTGAAGGAACTGGCTGAACCCAGTTTCCCTTGTGTTTGGAATAGCATGGGGTGAGAGAAGCTTGAGAAGAAATTCCTTAGGAGTGGAAGGTTTCCGGTGTGAGGTATGCAGATGCTTGTGTGCGCTGTTCACTCAACGCTAGTGATGTCTGAAAGGCCCATTGCTCTAGATATGAGGGAGTTCCTTAGATCAAAGAACTATTAAGTAAGAATTTGAGCCCAAATCTGCCTGACTCTGATACTCTTCACTGGACTAGATTATGAAAAGAATTTAATGTCTACCAGGGTGTCTTACTGTCTAAAGGTCACAGTCTGACTCAGCCCACCAAAACCTAGACTTGAGCTGAATTTTGCTATCATGTGATACACTTGAATTTCTGGAAGGACCTGTATTTTCTTAGCTGAGACTGGAGCCATGGCGACTCTGAAGCTGTCTCTCATACCTCACACAGGGAAACAATTGGAAGCAGCAGATTTCCACATTGCAGGAAAGGGCTCCTGTTTGAGTTGATATTGATACTTTTATGTAACATCATGTGCTTTCAAAGGAGTACAAGAAAATTGAGGCACGCCTTTAATCCCAGCACTCGGGAGGCAGAGGCAGGCATATCCCTGTGAGTTCGAAGTCAGCCTAGTCTACAGAGCGAGTTCCAGGACAGCCTCCAAAAATAATACAGAGAAACCCTGTCTCACAAACCAAAAAAAAAAAGAAAGAAAGAAAAAGAAAATTGGAAAATTGGAGTGAAAACAAGAAAAATCTACCAGGAGCTTGGAACAGGGGATATCAGGGCCTTGAGGGAGCAAACTGCTTAGTCAGATGTCAGATGCTGGCTTGATTTTTTTTTTGCTTTTCTTTTATTAATTTATTTTTTACATTCCAATCCCAGCTCCCCCTTCCTTCTGTCTTCCCGCTTCCCCCCACCTCCCATCTGCTCCTCAGAGAGGGTGAGGCCTACCCTAGGAAGTCCACTAAGTCTGTCCATCATCTAGTTGAGGCAGGACCAAAGCACCTCTCCATCCCCACACCCCTGTGTCTAGGCTGGGCAAGGTAACTCTATAGAATGGGCTCAGTTTGTGCATTAGTGTTAGGTCTTGGACCCACTGGTTGGCTTGATTTTTGTCAGCACAAGTTCTTCTGGTGACCTGAACGCTAAGTGCAATGCTTCACATTTTACATGAAACCACAAGGGGGATAAGAAGGAAGGAGCTTCTTAGACACCTGAGATGTCTGTCAGAACCATGATTGCTTCATTGGTAGATGACCATTGATCTGTATATAAATGGGAAAGGTCAGAGCAGTTAAAAAAAAAAAGAAAAAGAAAAAGCTGGGCCTCCCTTAAGTACAGTTCTAAGTACTGGAAAGATTGACAGTCTCAGAGTTATAAACTTTTTTTCTTCAATATAAAAAGAAAGTGTCCAGGCATGCACACACCAAATATATGTTCACAGACTTGAACATATTTCAAGGCTATACAAATACTGCTCCTGAACAGGGAAGGAGAGAAACCAGTCAACTGTAAACACTTTCGCTATGCAGGCAGAGGCATGAGGGAAACATTACTCATCTATCCCATTGCTCTGGGCTGAGTGAGCAATTACAGCTTTAAGGCCACAGGAAGTCCTTGTCTCTGTTCTGTTAGCATATTACTCAACATCATGCACTTTAATTTATGTTTGCCTTGTACTGTGGTCAGCACAGTTCACAATAGAGTATATTTCCAAAAGCCCTATGACAGAACTTCGGGTCTTCAAGGAAGATTGTTTTCTAACAATCTTCATTATCAACTTAGACACCCAGAATTCTGAGACTTAGAGCATCAATAACCAGTATCCACGGGCAATGTCTGATAATTGAACTGTGGAAAGAGGGCAAAGAGTGCTTCTGGAACATAGAAGTGCCCTAGCAGATCAGAGCTGGGATGCTTGACCTAGACCACCTATACCTGACCAACATGTTAGTCTTTGCAGAAGTTTGGCTTCAGTTGTTAACTTGTGTGGCAAAAGTTTTCCTTGGAAGATGCAACACATGTCTACTCACTCCACATAGGGAACCCGCAACAGACCAAAGAAGCCAAGTGAGGCCAGCTTAGTGGTGCATGTCTTTAATCCCAGCACTTGAGAGACAGAGACAAGCAGACCTCTGAAACACTGCCTAAAAAAAAAAAAAAAGAAAAAGGAAGGAAGGAAGGAAGGAAGGAAAAGAAAAGTAGCCATGGGAATAATGCGTGTATATTTAATTACATATACTCAAATGGTGCAATAATAACTGTGGGGACACCAGACCTTGAGCAGAGACCCACTTCCCCATCAGCCTGGGACCAGGCAGCTGTAAGACAATGTTTACTAAAAACAATACAATGCCCGGGGCAATAAGTTCCTGAAAAGGGCTTGCCCACAGGAACCGCCCTGTCCTCGACCTTTTCCAAAGACTAACCGCCTCTTCAGACCCACCCACCTCCACCTCTGGTGTCGGGGTATATAATAACCAGCCAGAGTAGGAATAAAAGAGAGCCTTCTTGAGGAGCCTTTGGTGTTGTCAATCCCCGACACCCTCCACACATTCTCGGACACAGGCTGTGCAGCACGCATGGCAATTGGAGGTCCCACCGAGATGTGAAAGCGAGGTAAGTGGACGGGGTCATCCCTTTTGCCAGCCAGGGACAGATGGGGGAAATAGGAAAAGAAATGATGGGAAATAGTCCCTGGAAGCTTAAATTACAGTATCATGCAAAAAGGTTACTTGAAGAACAGGGGACTAACACCATGGAAGGCTTTTTAAAATGGATTGAACAAGCGAGTCCATGGTTCATTACTGGGGGAGGCTTAAATGTCCCAGATTGGGAGGATGTTCGCCATGATTTTCAGAGAGCTGGGTGTTGGTGGCACACGCCTTTAATCCCAACACTCGGGAGGCAGAGGAGGTAGGTAGGATAGAGGCCATCCTGGTCTATAGAGCAAGTTCCAGGACAGCCTCCAAAATGATAGAAAGAAACCCTATCTCAGAAAAAAAAGAGAGAGAGAGAGAGGTAAAATAAAAAATAAAGTAAAAAATCTCCAGCCTTTTGACTGATCCACTGAGGTTAGGAAAGTAAAGGGGAACTGAGAGATCTAAAAGGTTGGCCAATAAGTAAGGCGATGAGGATGCATTAAAAAGGGGTACCAAGCTAGGGGTACCAGATTAAATCTCCAGGCCTTCACCTGACAAAGGTCAGGAAAGAGGGGAACCTGAGAGATCGCCCTCAGGTGGAGGGTGGATTGGATTAAATCTCCAGTAAGAAAGAAAAATTGAGAGGTTGCCCTCAGTTGGAGGGTGGATTACATTAAATCTCTAGGCCTCAG